TGAATCTTTGTGCCTTGATTTAAAGGTTGCTGTCAGGTCGCTATGGATTCGTTTCCAGAAATCCGATTGATATTTCGAAATAACTTTAGGGGTCCATAACTTCGTTGTGTCCGCCTGGCCGTACACCCGAATGCAGTAATGCCATTTCAGTCGAACATGTTTCAGTTACATCTGTTATTTAGAATATTTACCCATAAATAAAATGTAATTTTGGTTCAGCTTACCCAACATGACTGCCAGGTTACACACTGCGCTGTACCTTTGGGCCTACATACAATTCTTTCATTCATCCTTTTTTACATCCACCGTTTCTTGTCTGGCGACAACGACGGGGCTTCTGTTGTGTGTAGAGCCATGCCGCTGTTGCATTGGTACCGTTTAATGAATAAAGCAATTACAGTGGATTCATGGTGATAACTGGTCGATAGTTGCGTGATGTAATTTGAGTATTTTTTGTTAACACCAATATGTATTGATAAATTATCATGGTAAAAAGGCAGCCTAATCATTTTTTATAGATTATTTTAATAATGTCCTGTGGAAGCCCAGGCGGTTATGCAGTATTTAAGTATGTCGAGAGGTGTTTCAGGACCCTCTCTGTGGCCTAGTGGTCAGAGTTCCTGGCTACAGATCCTGAATTCCCGGGTTCGATTTCTGGTGCTACCAGATTTTCTGAGAAGTAGTGGGTCTGGAACGGGTTCCACTCAACCTCATTAGGATAATTGAGGAGATATTTCAAGGAAATAGCGGCTCCGGTCTAGATAACCGAAATTAACGGCAGTGGGGATTCGTTCCGCTGACCACGTGACACCCTCTATCCGCAAAATTGACACTAACTTCGCCGACAAGCGGCGGTCGCTCGGTCGTTATAGTTCGCTTGCGGACTACAGGCCACGGAGGTTTTTTAAAATGTTTGAGAAATGTTTCAGGCAAATTTCTAACATTTAATAGAAGCCTGGGGGTACACTATGAACACAGTTTTCAGTGTCTTTCCAGCTTGCCACGTGTAGTTATACTCTTGCCCTACTTGATGTTACATTGCAGTGTAATTGTGCAATTTACAAAGGAAAGAACGCATCCGACGAATGAAAAAAGTTGAGTTCCAAGAGATGGAGGAATTTCGTTGACGCTGATGTAATGTTTGTAGGTCGAACAGTAATCTGTCATGTACATTAATACATTTTTAATTTAGAATAAAGCGATACATGTTTGTGCTTTTAATTTCTCTGTAATGGAGTTATTTTACGGAACAAATAGTTAAATAATTTAATTATTCGGATCCTTCAAATCGATACTGCATAACATAAACAATTGAAAGAGCTCAGTTAAGTAAACAAAAAAGTTATTTTATTTTTATGTAGGTTTCATCGTCATCTGTGACAACTGGATAGATTTTTTTAAGCGATTATATGAAGTATTTAATGTTTAAGAGTATTATATGGTGTAACTTTTCCGGTTTGTAAACTATCATTCGCCATACACTTCATAACATAATTTATGTTTAATTTTACCACGTGACGTGCTTTATACGATATACCAGTTTTGGTTTCTAACTAGAAATGCTGTCGTTTTGCTCACTGGTCATTCATAACGCCAGGCTTTTGTTTTCAGGGGTATTCATATTGCAAAACATTTCAGATTTGTAAATAGTGGAAAATTAATTTCTGTCGTTGTTTAGGTGTTGTCCGTTGTTATAATAATAGGCATAAAGATTGTGACAAATTACTTTGACACATTATGCAGTCCCTATATTGTGTGCTTTGAATAGCAACGTGGAATATGAATTCCATATTGTTCGCATCTTTTGTCCTCCATCCTGTGCGTCACGGTTAACATCCCATCATAGTGAATAACCGTGACGCACAGGATGAACTGAATACCGTACAAAGAAATGGACTCCGTGTTTTTTTTTTTCAGATAAATGCGGCTTATAGAATAACAAAGATGGCGGTATTTGAGAAGAGTATGCTACTAGAAACATTTAGATCCAGAGTAAGAGGAAATGACCGCCTCTGTGGTCTAGTGGTCAAAGTTCCTGACTACAGATCCAGAGGTCTGGGTTCGATTCCCGACGCTACTAGATTTTGTGAGAAGTAGTGGGTCTGGAACGGGGTCCACTCAGCCTCGTGAGGGTAATTGAGCTATTTTAAGGAAATGGCGGTTCCGGTCTAGAAAACCGGAATTAACGGCCTTGGGGGATTCGTTGCGCTGACCATGCGTCACTCTCTATCCGTTAAAGTTGACAGTAACTTCGCCGACAAGCGGCGGTCGCTCGGTCGGTATAGTTCGCTTGCGGACTAAAACTACGGAGTTTGTTTTGTAAGATGAAGTAATAGGAGAATTGAGACGCTTACACCGTGAGAAGCTTAGTAATTTGTACGCTTCATTCAGTGCTGTTAAAATTACGAAATGTATGAGATTCATATGGGTGGTACATGCAGCAAATGAGAAATGTTTATAAGATATCAAGTCAGAAAACCTGAAGGGAACATGCACTTATTTGGGGGCTAAGCATAGATGAGATATACATATTTAAATGAATGGAAAGATGGCGGATTTGGGAGTGGGGATTGGAATAACCCAAGGTAGGGTCCAGTAGAAACTGTTGGTGAATGTGGTAACAAACTCTGGGAATTTCACTGATTAGCTGAACAATTAGTAATTTTCAAGAAAGACCTTGTATTTAGTTATTTAGAACTTTGCATGACTAAATAACTAAACTCCATGGCTTGAGTCCGCAAGCGAATTATACCGACCGAGCGACCGCCGCGTGTTGGCGAAGTTAGTACCAACTTTAGCGGATAGAGGGTGTCGCATGGTCAGTGCAACGAATCCCCACGGCCGTTAATTTCGGTTTTCTAGACCGGAGCCGCTATTTCCTTGAAATAGCTCCTAAATTATCACTTTGCATGACAGATGCTCCGGATGAACAAATAATAAGAAAATAACACAAAACTTTCTATTCAATTAATAGGTAAAAGTAAAAAAAAGTAAAAAAGTAAAAAATAAACCTATCCTCTTCCAGGCCGTGAAGGCCCATAGGGTTGTGAGACGTTGAGGGTCCCACATTATCTAGACAATCGGCTCAAAGATGGCGGTAAGGTTGTCAGCCCTACGCGCCGGCCGCCCTTTACCCAGCAGGAAATTTATTTAATTAATTCCTGGTACTCATTTCTGTTAGAGGCTGAGTGAACCCCAGGGCTATAGTGCGACTGGAAGGATTAGGTCAATTGTAAAAAATTCAATGACCTCATCAGGACTTGAACCCGCGACCTTCCGGCTTGTAGCATAGCCCCTCAACCAACTATGCTACCGCGTGCCCCCATTCAATTAATAGGTACTAATATAAAATTTAGCCAAGATCAGACTGACTGACTGAATTGTGTAGGTGTACTGTTGAGTGTATCTTACATGCCACACACCATGAGATGGTCGTGTTCGTAATTATGCATAATGTGACAAAGAGTCCTTTAAATATAACTCAGGGATAGTGTAGTCAGTATAGCGACTGGCAACGGGGTGGATGACCGAGGGGTTGGAGTTCGAGTCCCGATAGGGTCAAGAATTTTCACTTCAGTCGTCCAGACCGACTCTGGGGTCCATTCAACCTCCTATACAATGGGTAGGGGGGTTCTTTCCCGGGGGTAAAGCGTGAAGGTGACCACTCGCCTCCAACTAGTGCCGATGACAAGAAAATGTGGATCTATACATCCACTCCCCCATACGCCTTCATGGCATAGTGCTTAATTAGTTAGGCACAGGGACAACTGTACCTTTACCTTTTTACCTGGAAATTGTACGTGATACATGGTTATTGGAAATCACAGTAAACTCGTCACTTTATAGCGTCGTTTCATGTAAATATATATTAATGAATGTGCTATTATTTATTTTATTTCAGTTTTAATTAATGAGTCGCTCAAGAAGAAAACAATAAACAGTGCATCAATTTACAGAAAACGATATACTTGAAGATAGCCCTGCGTAGCCGAAGGAAGTTGTATTAACGGTGTGGAAGGGACTGTTTAGTGCAAGTTGCGACTGTATTCTGTTGTGATGCTACAGAGCGGTTTTTCTTTATCAAAATGGCATAACCCAGTAAGTACACATCGATAGCGCTGAAGAGTAAACTCCTACTTGGACTGTGAGAAGAGATAGGAAATTTATGTCACCCAACTTGGATGCCGGCGAAGTGAATCTATCTTCATAAAATACACAGAATGCTCAGTGGCTGTATGGTCCCTTCCTCCCACACTGTCACATTACGTGTTTACCCCCTTCGGCTACGCAGGGCTGTCTTCAGGTATATCGATTTTTGTAAATTGATGCACTGTTTATTGTTCTCTTGTTGAGCGAGGCACTAATTAAAACTGAAATAAAATAAGTAATAGCACATTCATTAATCACCCTGTCGTGGACACAACAGCGTCGGCGTATAGCAGACAAAAAAACAAAAACAAAAAACACCGCGTTAGCTGAAGTTCGCCAACGAACCTCGTTTTTATCGATCTCATTTCAGTTCATATAATTAGACCCTAGAGCTGAATTTCTTAGCGTTCATTTTAGCATTATCTCCCGTTCATGTCTTGGCTTCTTTTCACAATGTTTCTTCAGTGAGAACTTATATACAGTTCTGTTACTCGTAAAACTCCGTGGCCTGTAGTCCGCAAGAGAACTATACCGACCGAGCGACCTCTGCTTGTCGGCGAAGTTAGTGTCAAATTTTGCGGATAGAGGGTGTTACGTGGTAAGCGCAACGGATCCACACGGTCGTTAATTTCGGTTCTCTAGACCGAAGCCGCTATTTCCTTGAAATAGACCCCTTAATTATCCTCAAGAGGCTCAGTGGATCCCGTTCCAGACCCACTACTTCTTAGAAAATCTGGTAGCGAAGGGAGTCGAACCCGGACCTCTGACCACTAGACCACAGAGGCGGGTGAGATATATGTGCCGTGTTACAGGGCCACAATATAAACCAAGCATGATATTTCTCATTGCAGCCCGCCACAGACTACCACTGTCTGATGTAATGGCAGTCCACTACGTTCACTCTCCGGACCAGACGCACTGTTGTCCCGCAGCAGACCAAGATGGAAACAATGTTGACGATAAACCCGTCAGCGAATTGACGGCTGCGGCCCCACCGAGACACACTGGTTTCACCCTCCATTACGCAGCCAGATCAGCCAAGAACAAATGGAAGCATGAGACAGTGACCATGAATCACACTGACCCTCGGCAAGTCGCTTCGTGGGTGAAGACGATTCGTAATTGCCTCAGCGGTAAGTTACGTCATCAGCATTGTTCTGGTGTTGCAGCAGCATGGCATTATGTAAGGGCGGTACAAGTTTGTAATTACACAGAAACCATACTACAGCTGGGCAAGGAAGCTCAACCCGTGCGTCTGTTCAGGAGATATGTTTGGTATCTAAAGCCCATCCGTCTCTGTGGTCTAGTGGTTAGAGTTCCTGGCTACAGATCTAGAGGTCCCGGGTTCAATTCACGACGCTACCAGTTTTTCTGAGAAGTAGTGGGTCTGGAACGGGGTCCACTCAGCCTCGTGAGGATAATTAAGGAGATATTTCAAGGAAATGGCGGCTCCGGTCTAGAAAACCGAGAATAACGGGCGTGGAGATCCGTTGCGCTTACCACGTGACACTCGCAATCCGCAAAAGTTGGCACTCACTTCACCGACAAGCGGCGGTCGCTCGGTCGGTATAGTTCGCTTGCGGACTACAGGCCACGGATTTTGTTTGTTTTGTTGTTTTCCCAGCACCGTCAATAGGCAGCTGCTTCCCAATATGGCTCCTCAATCACTCATCCTACGGATAATCACCGAATGCTGCACTAACACTAGCACTTTATGCACTCTTTCTGATAATAATTACCAGAATTAAAGTCAGCATCGGGATTATTGATCACCACACTAAACTATTTAGGCCAGTGTGTATCCGGTTGCTCTAAAAGGGCGTCATTTAAAAAATACAGAAAAGGAACTTGTACGCTTCTCCAAGTATAATTAGAATGATCACGTCAAGGAGGATAAGGTGGGCAGGGCATGTAGCACGAATTGGGACAAGGTGAAATGCATATAGGATATTGTTGGAGGAACCGGAAGGAAGGAGACCATTGGGAAGACCAAGTCGGAGGTGGATGGACAATATTAAAATGGATCACAGAGAGATAGGATGGGATTGATCTGGCTTAGGATAGGGACCACTAGAGGGCTCTTGTAAACACGGCAATGAACCTTCGGGTTCCATAAAATGCTGGGAAGTTCTTGAGTAGCTGCGCAATTGGCAGCTTCTCAAGAAGGCTTCAGCTCCATGAATGAGGGAGTGAAAAAAGGAATTACTCAACCGATTCGGGGAATGGCGCTGTTGCTGGTGACGAAGATTCCAACTAAAAGTTCCGGAGCGAACGTGTGACACCCAGAAGAACGTGAGGTAGCATAGAATATCTGTGAAATAAAGAAGCATGGCATATGCTACTATCCGAGGTCCAGAACCGCTGGGATCTGTCATGGACGACCACTCTTTGTGGCTAAATCATTGAGCAGTCGCGGTGTTCTCACACCGGAAAACATGGGAGGATAGTGTGTACGTATTGGCGGACAAGTTCGCCGTTCACCTGATATTTACACGGTACTGATATATGTTGCCGTGGTAACGCTTATCTTATCGAGATCGTATGTGAACAGTACCTTGTTCGAGACTATAGACGCAGTAAAATACTTGTCACCTTGTAGTAGTAGTAATAGTAGCAGTAGCAACAGCAGCATTAGTAGTAATAGTAATGATCAGGGTCCGGATTCTGATGACCTGAAAATATTTAAAAAATGACATATAAAATGACCGAAAAAATCCAGAAAAATGACCTAAAGGAGAAAAGAAAGAACACTTCGCTTCCATGTTATTCGCATTTCAGAAAACGTATGGAGAAAAATTCCCTAAAATGGCAAAAAATGACAAGAAATACCCTTAAAAGTCCAAAAATTTACCAAAAAATTACCCCCCAAATGAAAAAATGACCTTAAACCTAAAAATGTCAAAAAATGACAAAAAATTACCTATAAAATTTACATT